AGGCCACTCCTTAACACCGGCCCTTAAGACTGTTCAAAGCTCTTCACCTGTCCATTCGTTCTCAAGGTCAACCCCATTAGTTCATATTGGCATCTCAGCACCTCACGGATGAGATCTGAGACTCAGGTCACCTGAGCAAGCCCAGGTGTAGACTTAACCGTCGTCAACGTGGTTACCGTACCTGGGACTAAGACCACCCTAAAGAGTTCCCTGAGAGTCCCCTGCGCGGAGGGGGCATGTCTCTGGCAGGCGCAGCCCTGCCCCCCGGGCTTCGAGGCAGCAGCCCGGCGCCGGGGTTTCAGGAATGAGACGCCTCGAGGCCCGCAGACTGGAATCAAAATGGCTGACGACTCTTCGAACAGGACAAGGGGAAGGTTACTCAGATGTCCCGAAACCTTGGTCAGAACCTGTCTTTGAGTGAAATCTCAACTTCTGTCTTCCAGAAGCGATGGAAATAGGACTCAGAATCCTGAGGTAAGACGTTTCCCGAAACAGCCAGGTGCAGTCGCCATTAGGAAGTGATACGCCACAGCCTCTCAGGCCTTGCCCCTGACATGGCCCCGCCTCTGAACACGTCCACGCCCCTGGGCGTGACACCATCCCTGGAGCACACTGAGCTGAGCCTCCGTGTAGAAATTCCTTTATTTTCCATTTTCTCCAGAGGTTTCTGAGCTCCACTACGTATGTGCAGCTGTAATGAGGTAAACTTTCTCTCTGTCCTCTGAGAAGGTGATTATGCCAAACATGTTCTACACCATGTGAAAAGTGTTGTAATTAGAAAACAAGAACAGATCCCCGTGTGTGAGAATCAAAGACAGCATCGGAGTGAAACCTTTCAGTATAATATAAAGGAAAGACGAGAGAAAGTATGAGGATTCATGTTAGGTCGTGTTGTTTTGTTTTTATGATGAAAAGTTCCCATTTTGTGAGTATTCATTCCCATGTGGTGGTCTAGCACATGTGCTGTAAGAGTGAAGAATGTGGAGAAGTTGTAGAAACCTGAAAGTAGTCAAGAGAATTGACTAAGAAAACTATCATATGAGCTCCACAAAGACAGGAGCTCTGTGTCCTTCACTGGTGTGTCCTAAGTGCCAAATACACAGTAAACGTGGAAAGAATGAATGGATTCTCTTCAGACAGTGTTGGAGCTGACCATTAGTTGTACAGCATAAGTAACAATTTATGGTGGTACCAACATACTTAATTGTATGATTTTACCCAAGAGGAATCAGACGTTTATTAGAAGGCAGGGCTTCCCAGATGGCTCAGTGCTGAAGAGTCCGCCTGCCAATGCAGGAGCCTCATGCATGAGTTCAGTCCTTGGGTTGGGAAGAGCCCCTGGAGGAGGAAATGGCAACCCACCCCAGTATTCCTGCCAGGGTAATCTAAAGGAACGTGTCAGGCTATAATCCCTGGGGTCCCCAAGAGTCAGACATGACAGAGCCACTGAACATGCTGGCCTGCATGCACTAGAAGAGGTAGAGTTAGGTTTTGCCAGGCAAAGACATAAGAAAGGAAAATGGGGAAGGTGCTTTAGAGCTATTTTTTGAAGACTTCTCTGGTGGCTCTGTGGTAAAGAATCCGCCTGCCAATGCAGGAGATGCGGGTTCAATCCCTGGGTCGGGAAGATCCCCTGGAGAAGGAAATGGCAACCCACTCCAGTATTCTTGCCTGGAGAATCCCATGGACAGAGGAGCCTGGTAGTCCTTGGGGTTGCCAAAGAGTCAGACACAACTTATTGACTAAACTTTAGAACTATTTAAGTGTGTGGTTAAATGATAGACCATGAAGTTTTCCTTGGAGAAGGAGGAGATAAAGATAGAAGGTTGTCAGATGAACTACGAGTGGTTTGTAGTTCCTGAGCAGGTTAAGGAATTGACATACCAAGGGCATAAGCTGAAAGAGTAAAGGGCGAAATGTCAGACTGTATTTTTTCAGAGCGAAAAAATATTCTGAAGATGAGTTCTAGAATATGGCCGTAACTGAACTGGAATGGAGGTAAAGAGCCATAGGTTGAAATGGAATAGACAGTGAGAGGTCAGATTATTGGATGGTCTATTCACATGAATATTAGACTTCTGATTGATTCCTCCCACTTTGAGTTCCTGTCCAGAAACTCTTTCCTCTCCCCAAATCCACACAGGATTTGCATTCCCTGCAATTGTAACCTTCAGTCAGTGTCATGACTCTGGACAGGAAGGTAAATGTGGGGCAGTGAGATGGAGGGCTATGATAGACATCTGATTTTTTTTTTAATTTGTTTTGAAAACTCAGCCTTCACTCACCTTCTGTAAACAGTTCTTCTCTTGTCCTCTGGGAAACTAACCCCATTTACAGTCTCAGCCCATGTGCAAGTGAGGTAGTTGTTTCCCAACTCTATATTAAATACACTGATAACAGCAGAAATTAAACCTTGAAATCTGTAGGATTTGCTTCCTCTGTAAGCATGGCTGTCTCTACAGAAGTTGAAGTTAGCTTCTTTAGCCCTACGATCTGAAAGCTAGAGCAGAGGGGAGAGATTGGGGGAGGCAGGATGAAATATATTGCCTCTAATTTTTTTCTCTCTCAAGTCTGCAAACTGGCAGTAGTAAGTCAGGTAGTTCTAAGGCCTCCTCTCACCTGATTATTCTAGGTGACCCCACACCACTGTTACCTCCATGTCTGCTTTCCCACCTCCTTTGGATGCCCCAACCTCTTTGTTTTTCTTACCAGCCACTGCTCTACTTAGCCATTAAATAGCTTTGACCTTGATGATATGAATGTGAATGAAGGCAAGGATACACTTGATACCTCTGGCCAATTTTGCTTCAGTTAACTGAGTTGGGTGTCCAAGAAGAAAACCTTGTCTTAAGAAGACTTCTAAGAAGGTCCCAGTGATCCCCACCTCCTGATAGTCACACCCTGGTGTAATTACTCATCCCCTTGAATGTAGGTTGAACTTAGTAATTTGCTTTTAATAGAATAAGGAAAAAGGTAATGGAACATCAATTCCACTATTAGTTTACAAAATGTTGTAAATTCTTTCTTCCTAGCAGACTATCTCCTGACCCTGATGATGCATTGGAGAGGCCCACATGGCAAGGAACTGAAGATAAACTCCAGCCAACAGTCAAGGAATTGAAGATCGCAGTCCAGCAGGCTTTGAGGAACTTCATTCTGCCAGCAGGTATGTAAGTGATCACTGAAGTGGGTCTTTCTACAGTCACGCCTTTAGATGATACCCCAGCCCCAGCTGATACCTTTATTGCAGCCATGTGAGAGACCTTAAAGCAGGGAATCCAGATAGGTCTTGCCTGAATTCCTGACCACAAAAACTGTGAGATAGTAAATAAGTGGGTTTTTTTTTAAGCCTCTAAATTTGAGGATGTCCATTATACAGCAGGGGGCTTCCCTGGTGGCTCAGCTGATAAAGAATCTGCCTGCAATGCAGGAGACCTGTGTTTGATCCCTGGATTGGGAAGATCCCCTGGAGAAGGGAATGGCTATCCATTCCAATATTCTGGCCTGGAGAATTCCATGGACTCTATAGTATTCCATGGACTATACAGTTCATAGGGTCACAAAGAGTTGGACATGACTGAGTGACTTTCACTTTCACGTTATACAGCAGTAAATAACTAATACACCCCTAAATTACTGTGATCTCGGTGAAAGATGTCACGTGACTGGAAAGGCAGGCACTGAATAGGAGTACATCCCTCTGATAACATCCCTAAGAATACTGTCTTCGTGCTCAGAGATTACCCCGCATTCTCTTATGCTTAAATGGTATTATCATACTCTAAAAGCCTTGATTAGTCTCCAGGAGCTGCTGGAGGCATAGTTAGGGTTGTGTTGGGTGAAGTGGACGGATGGTCAGTATGGGATCATAAGTAGTGATGATGATGTCATTCTTTCCCTTCTCATTTTTGTCTTCCTTTCCCACTCACTCCACCTTTACATTTTCTTTACTCTCTCCTTCTCCCCAAACTTCTGGGTGGCTGCCCGATGACCATTCCTGCAAACAGTGGCCAGGTGATCTCTTGGTCTTGCAGTAATGCTACCCTGAAAAGATTTCCTTGAGGAGCAGTTCTTCCTGTTCCTTGAGTTGCTTTCACAAGCAGGGAGACCTCATAGTCAAGCTCAAAATACGCTTTCCAGATTAAACTTCCCACGTGCAGCAGATGCTTCAGCTGGAAGAATCTGCTGAATTCTGACCCTAGCCAGACCAGTGTCCACAGTTGTAAAGCCTATCTATCTATACACACCCCATTCAATGACCACCTACCTGTGAGTTACTCTGGAATCAGGGACATTTTCTAAACGAAAGTAAGACCGTCTGCAAGAAAATATTCATATCCCTCGGCCTTTTCAGAGCTGCAAATTCTATCTTCCCTACTGCTCCAGTAAGGGTAGAGGAAAGGTAAAGGGTGAACTGCGACTTATTTTCATTAGGGTCAGGTAAGGAGTGGGAGATGTGGCCCATCACCACAAAATTCATGAAGGATGAGAGGGTTCTTCGTTGCAGGACATTTATTCCTCACCAAGAGATCTAAGAGGAAGATTTCTGTCTACCACTAACCTCAAGGGTTAAACACTCTCCAAAACTTTTTGAGGCAAGAAGAGTCAATTCTGGCTATATTATGCTAGAGTAATTCATCCCACCCTATAGCTGTATATGGTTCAGGATAGTTTGAGAGCAGATGAAAAGATAGTTTAAGCTGAGTTCTAGACTTTTAGATATCTTCTCACTTTGCAAAAGCCTGAAAATTTCTAGAGTAAATTTTTGTACTTTTTATAAAAATAATTAAGTTTTTTAGGTAGAGGATATCTGAGCAGGATCAAATAAAGGACTCCAGGATAAAACTGAGAAAACCACTGTCAGGCTCCCTGCAAGGAAGCCTCTTAGACACCAAGAGAGGAAATCAGGATGAGCTGAACTACTCCTTCCATTTCCCACATATAAGTACCAGGATAACTAAAACCCATGCCCCCAGTGCAGTACACAGAGAGCATTAGTGTTTCTCTATTAGAAGAAACATTTATTGAGGAAGATCAATATTCTTGATTTACTAAAGGAAGGTTGTTTTCATCTGAGGATGTGTTATCATGAAAACTGCAAGGTTTTCTCAGTGACTGAAAGAGTTCTTTGGAGAAATTTCTTCTCCCTGGAAATGCTGGAGAAGTGATTTCTGTTTGAATAGAAGAGTCAGATCTCTGAACACAGTGTCTTCTTCAGGAGTGAGGGAGGCTGGAGGTATCTGGCATTCTTGATGCACACAGGTGGGGCTTGGGTGGCTTACCAACTCCCTGGAGGACAGGGAAGAGGGTTGATTCTGACATAATACCTGATCCTCAAAGGCCACATCTTTCTGGGGATGTCTGACCCCATCTCTGTTCTGTCTGACACTTGTAAGACAACTCTGATCAGCATAAGCAGCTTCTTGGTTTGAGGACTTGGGACTTACCCATTCCTCTTGCCGTAAGTCAGGGAGAGCAACATAGTTGGAGGGATGTCCCTTACCAGACTCTACCTGGGTCTGTAGTTCCTTCTTGTGCTGACTTAATCCCAAAGTCTCAGATTCAAACCTACATGCCAGCTTCTCTTCTAGGATCTTCCCAATGGCTCTCATGAGCTCATGAGCTTCAAGGGGCCCATGACTCACAAAGAGAGCTGCACTTTCAATTGAGTCTTGGTGCTGTGCAAAGGTTGACATGAATTTGGCTTTTTGTTGGGGACTTTCCTGGTCTTTGATTTTTCTCATGAAATCAATCCACTGAAAAAATCGCCTCATCTTTTTTCTGAAGTAACTTTCAGGAGGAAGCTGCTCATTCTGTGACAGAGATGAGGAAGTGTCCTTTAATTCTCTTTCCTCAACAAGGTGGCTCTTCCTTCTGTCTGTAGACATCCCTGCTCCTGAATCTTCACTTCTGTATTCTCCTGCTTTGGAGCCCAAAGGCGCTCTCTCTGCAGCAGGTGGGAAGTTATTATCCTGGCACTTCGATGGTGCATGCTTAGAGGGATCCTGCCTCTGCTCCATGCTGGTCCCACTGTCCTCCGAGTGGATGTGTAGCATCTGGGAAGCTGCCATGTCCCCAGTGGAGACACTCTGGGCAAGAGTCAGTGAAGACTTGGAAGGCAACCTACTTGAAGTCAGGGGCATGTCTGTGGGACAGTGGTCAGCCTGGCTATGCTCCTTATTCTTGAACTTAAACTTTAACTCAGTAAGGATCTCTTTTTGAAAGTCTGATATTTCAGAATCTCGGGGAGCAGATATTTTTGGTGAGGGACATTGAGTAGTCAGGGTAGTTTCTACTTTATTCATTTTGACCTTTTTCATTTGGGAACTTCTCAATTTGCTGGTTGTCAAGATGTTACAGGATTGTGATTCAAGAGCCTGAAGCTCCTTGGCCCTGAATATCTCCCTGGACACACTGAACATTGTGGAATGTTCTGAATTCTTCCTCACTGTCTTTTGGCCCTGAATCGTTTCTACTCTATTACTGAAGTTCCCAGTCTCATCCCTTGGCTCAGGTTTGTACCCAGCTTGCCTTACGGGCACCCCTGGGCTGCATCTGTTGTCCAAGAGAGTCTCATTCTGACTGACTTTGTCTTTGTTTCTGTGTGTGACAGGCTGAAAAGTCTGTCTGCCACGCTCAATTGTCTGAATGCCCTCTGCAAGCTTTTGGTAGGTAGCAGAGTGTGATGGTTGTGGGGCCCTCTGTCCTTCTTGGCCCACAGATGACATAACAGGGAAAGGATGATCCAGCATGGAGTTTGAATTTGTGGTTCTCACCTTATTTCCCTGAGAAGTTTTAGATCTTTCTTCAAGGGGCTTGGAAAGCCCATCTTTGGAGTCTACCCCAGAAATATGGGTGGTTGAGGAGGGAAAGTCAAATTGAGGAAGAGGCCATGTTGTGGCTTCTCTCAACATATAGAATTTTATGGATTCAACAACTTTGAGGGGTAGGCCCCATCTCTGAGTCACACGAAACCTTAAAATATGGGCTTCTAGCACCTTTAAGGTATTGTGATCAAGAAAAGAAACCTCTGGAGTGCTAATCTGGTGGCATACTTTACCTACAGTTGTGTTTTTTGAATGTGGGTCTTCCACATTGGTTTGGGAGCTTGCAGAAGGAAGCAAAGTATTGTCATCAGCCAGCCATGAACGACACACACCTGTAGGAATCCTACCCGCACTAATCTGCCAAGATTTCGTGCTCACATGTAATCTAAGAATGGTTTTTATTTGATTCCAATCTGTGTCCTTTCTTGAGACATTTAATAATTCATTCCTTGAGTGATTCCTTGAGTGACCCACACAGTTAGTTTTTGTCTCCAAGGCAGCCCTCAGACCCTGCACTAGGTAACATTCTGAGACATCTTGTGGGCTGTCTTCTGGGCTCTTCTCAAGGATATAGCCAAGATTCTTCCTCATGTCATCCCTTAGCTGAAACTTTGTTGAGACCCTCTCTTGGAAATTTCCTGGGAGACCCAATTCAGTCTTCTCTATATTGTTGCTACCCTGGCCCTGAAGCTCGGAGAGTTGTAACTGAACATGCCTGCCTCTCTGCTGAGGTACTTCTGCTAATTTGTATTGAGGTCCCATCAGTGCTAGAGACTCTAGATTCCTGCAGGCTTGGAGGTACCAGCGTGGAATTAGCCTCCTTGGAACATGGAGCTCCAGTTTCTTCTGGGGTTCGCTGATGATATGACAATGGCCAGGAAGGATGGAGACTGGGACATAGGCATGGGATGGCTGATTGACCAATGGGACGTTATGAGCTTGAGAACAAGTGGCTTCTTGAGGTTTTTGGAGCACAGGAACTAAACCCCACAAACTTTCCTGTTGCTTCTGTAACACATGCCACTCCAGATGTTGATTTTCAGTCACAGTATGAAAGTCGGACTCATTCTGGAATCTGTGGAAAGACACTCCACAGTCCCTAATCTGGGATGGAGAAGAAGATGATAGGATTGGGAGTTGGGATTGAAGGTGGGCCTGGGGCTGGACCTGAGTGAAAGGTAGAGACTGGGATTGTGGCTTAGTTTGAGACGAGGGTTGTGGTGGATATCCATGGGGAAGGAGACGGGGACGGGAATGAAGAAGTGGTGGAGATTCTTGACCCCGCGTTTTGACTGCAGAAGCATTACAGATTCCATTGAATAAGACAAAGTGAGACTCTAGAGGGGAGCTCCTGCTAGAAACCAGAAGAGTAGCCGCTAGGGACTCACTGTGCAAAGAGGGAAGACCCCAGAAGAGCTGATATTTCTGCTGCAAGTTTCCCCCCAAAGTCGTGACATATAAGAGCTGCTGGCAAATGTGGAGCTTCTCTGGTTTGCTTTCACTGTTCCAGCCAGTTTGGGGGGCTGTAGTTTTCTGCACATTAAGTGACTGCAACAAACTCCCTGAAGATGTCCGTTGGTATTCTGACCACATTTGTTTTAAAAATGGTCCCTCCTCCTTTTCTTTCTTCTCTAAACTCTGGAAAGCTATTCTGTTTTTTATTTGTCTCTCCAAGAGTCCACGGATGTTAAAGCCAGAGAAAGAATGGCTATTGGCTTCCTTGTGCTTGGTAACAGAGTCTCCCCAGAGATAAGTGTCTTGTGGATGGAGAGAAACATGCTCTCGCTGAAAATCAGAGTGTGGTAATGCTGGGAGGAGCATGTTCATGGCCTGAGTTTGCCACAAAGAGAAGTCTGAAACTGACAGGCTTGACTGTTCAGTGCCTCTGATTGTTGAAACACAAGTGGACAACTCACTAGGGCTATCTGGAGATGACTTCTCCAGAACAGGCTTCAGTAAAGTGGAAATTGATTTAGGTTGAGTCACAGGTAAAGTGCAGTCTGGCTGTGGTGAAACAAATAGGGTCAGTGGTGCATGAGGACAAGCAAAAGAATCAGTGGGATTCATTGCCTGGGACAAATCTGATAAGGGCTTGATATCTTGGGAAAGGGTGGGGTCAAGAGAGGAAATGGTATCCAGAAACAATGTGGCCTCTGGTGGAACAACAGGGTCTGCTGTCTGAGTGTCATGTGGTAGGAGGTGGGGGAAAGCAAAGGTTTGGGGTGGGGAATAATCCACTGGGAATTTGGAATCCAAGGAAGAAAAAGGCTCTGAGGCCAGAGAGTGGCCCATTGGTGAGGGTAAAAAAAAGTCAGTTAAGGGGGTCGTTGGGCTAGGAGAGAGAATAGAGGTGGGCAGCGAGGGAGGCTCCGGCAGAGAGGCTGGTGGTAGGTTTCCTGGAGGAGCTGCTGAGAAGGCCTGGGACAGAGTAAACGATGACTCAGTCACAGGAGCTGTGGAAGCCAAAGGAAACACAGAGGAAGTAGCGTCTTCCAGGGCCTCCGGGAACAGCAGCCGATTGACCTCAGCAGTTGCGTTATTACACACCTCACAGAAGGGGTCTGGACATAACAGCTGACGAAAGCGGGTGGTATCATCATGCTGGCCCAGGGGCCTGCAGGAGATAGGAAGTACAAAACTACAGCCAGGACCAGGAAAAAACATGAGGCCCTGGTACCTCTGGCAAAAGTATGGCTGCCCAATGTATACTATCTTTTCACGTTCTTCTACTTCCTTAATCTCACAGTGTATCTTTTAATCCCTCTCCCCAAGGCTTTCATATTCTGAATCTGAGGATTTTCCCTCCCATGTCAATCCCAGGCTTCACTGAGGCCCTAGAAATTCAAAGACTCCACTAGAAAAGTGGGATATAGGAAAGAAGGTCATGTTTAGTCACCTTTGCAGAAGATAAAGCTCCTTTCTTGCCTCCTCTGCTTCGCTCTGGCAAGTTCTCCAACCTGGGAAACCAGGAGAGTGATGAAGGTGGGAACAAAGAGGACTTATAAGAGGCTAAGTAGAATGTCCTTTAGTGGTACCCTTGGTGGGTTGGAGAGTCTCAAGAGCTAGAATATAAGATCACATGGTCGGTGATAATAATAGCAAGGCTCAAATATACATGTTGCCTTACCATTCACAAAGGGCTTTCATATGTATTCTCCCATGTGATATTCAGAACTGCCCTTTGAGGAATATAGGTCAATGGTTATTTACCTCAAAGAGGAATAGGATCATCCAGGAAGTCAGAGGACTTACACAAAGTCAGGACACAGAAGTTCTGACTCTTGACATCTCACATGGCCACCTGTGGGGAAACACCCATTGCCCAGGTCCATCACGGCTTCATGCCGAGCCATGAGAAGAACAGGGAACCTGAGAAGTGTCTCCGGCTTGGACTGCCTTCCCAGGAGCCTGTCCCCAGATACCTCTGGTTTCTGAGAGAAACGGTATCTAGCCACTGACGTCGTCAGAGATCAGGGACCTGGGATCTCATGGAAAAGGCAGGAAGGGCCACCCTTGGAGAGATCTGCTGAAACAGGCAGGACCTTACCTGCCAGTGTGCCGCCTTTCCTTCTCCTCCTGGTTCTGCCCTGATGCTGAGAACAGAAAGAAAAGAATGAAGGGCTGGGCCTCATTTCTCTCAGTCTTTCTAGGAAACTCAGATATTCATTATCCAGGAATAATATGACTCTACTTAATAGACTTTTATGTTCTTTTGATCAATTTTAAAGGTTTAAAATGTTTTCAATTTTTTCTTCTTAAAAAAATAAGTGACTTTGAATGTATAGCAATAGAAACTTTCCAAATTGAAATGCAAAGAGAAAAAAATTTAGTATTTAAACCCAGAATATCCAAGAACTGTGAGACAGTTTCAAAATGTATGGTATATCAATACATGCAATTGAAATATTAAAATGAAAAGAAAAAGAGAACAGAGCAGAAGAAACATTTGAAGAAGTAACAGCCCAAGATTTTCCAAAATTAATGATAGACTAACCATAGATTGTGGAAGCTCAGAGAACACCAAGCAGCATAAATACTAAGAAAGTCTAAACCTGGACATATTTTATTAAAACTGTAGGAACCTGAAAGATAAAATCTTGAGAGAAAACAGAAGAAAATAATGCCGTACCTCTAGAGGAACAAGGATGAGAATTATGGGCTTCTCATCATAAACCAGAGCTTCCCTGATAGCTCAGTTGGTAAAGAATCCACCTGCAATGCAGGAGACCCTGGTTTGATTCCTGGGTCGGAAAGATCTGCTGGAGAAAGACTATGCTACCCACTCCAGTATTCTTGGGCTTTTCTTGTGGCTCTGCTGGTAAAGAATCCACCTGCAGTGCAGGAGACCTGGGTTTGATCCCTGGGTTGGGAAGATCCCCTGGAGAAGGGAAAGGCTACCCACTCCAGTATTCTGGCCTGGAGAATCCCATGGATCGCAAAGAGTTGGACACAAAGAGTTGACTGAGTGACTTTCACTTTTGATCATAAACCATGCAAGCAAAAAGAAAATTGACTGAAATATTTAAAGTGTTGAAAGAAAAAAATCACTCCAGAACTTTTTATCTAGTGGAAATTATCCTTCAAAAGTAAAGGAGAAATAAACACTGTCTCAAGACAAACAAAAACTGAGATAGTCAGCAACAGCAGATCTTCCCTGGAATAAATGTTAAAAGAAGTTCTATAGAAAGAAGAAAAATAACATCTCAAGTCTTCATAAAAAAAGAGAGGAAAAGGAATCAATGATAGTAAAAGAAAAAAAAAAAACACTTTCTTGTTTCTTATTCTCAATTGACCTAATGATACTACTGATAATGTATTGAGTGATCATAGTATATGGATAGGTGAAATAAATGACATCAGTGTTACAAGGGATAGGAGGGAAGAATTGGGAACTCTGTTATAACAGAACCTGTACTACTTATGAAGTGGTATAGTGTTTATATGAAAGTAGATTTGAGTTGTCAATGTATTAGTTGTCAATACATTAGTTGTTAATGTATTGAATATATTGCAAATTCTATGGCAACTACTAAAATTTTTTTATAGAATACTTGATATGCTAAGAGAAGAGAGAGATGGAATCTTATAAAGTACTTGTTTGAAACCAGAAAAGGCAGAAAAAGAGGGGAAGAAGAAAATACTTATAGTAAATACTAAACAGTTACAGACATGGTGGATATTAATCCAACTATATAGAAAATTGCTAAATGTAAGTGGTCTAAATACATCCAGTTAAAAGCTAGATTGTCAGTGGATAAAATGAGATCCAATTATATGTTGCCTACCAAACACCCACTTTAAAAATAAAGATACTGTACCATGCTAACACTGATGAAAGAAGCAGGAGAAGCTATATTAATTTCAGACAAAGCAGACTTCAGAACAAGGAAATTTATGAGGGGTAAAGAGGGACAGTAGGTAATAACAAAAGGGTCAGTTCTCTAGGAAGACACAACAATCCTTAACAATGTATACAGTCTAACAACAGATTGTCACAATATGTGAAGGAAAAACTGGCCCAACTGTAAGGACAGTTAGATGAATCTACTGCTATTTTTGTAGACTTCAACTCCCCTCTATCAGAAATGGACAGATTTAGCAGGCAGAAAATCAGTAAGGGTAGAGTTGACCTAAACAGCACCATCAGTCAGTTGATCTAATTGACTGATTAGATCTAATTCTAATTCTAATTTATAGAATACTTCATCCAACAACAGAATATACATTCTTCTCAAGCACACGTGGAACATTGACCAAAATAGACCACATTCTGGACCATGAAATGCATCTTAACAAATGCAAACTAGAAATCCTACAAACTGTATTTTTAGATGATAATAGAATTAAACTAGAAATCGTTTACAGAAAAATAGTTAGAAAGGCCAAAATGCCAAAATGTTTGCAGAGTAAACAGCGTGCTACTAACAAATGGGTCAAGGAAGAAATCTCAGGAGGAAAAAGAAAAACTTTTTAACTAAATGAAAATTAAAACACAACTTGTCAAAGTTTGTGAGATACAAAAGAAACAGTACCTGGAAGGAAACTGATAGCACTGATATGCATCCATTTGAAAAGAAAGATTTAATATCTTTGAGGGACTCTGGCTTACTGACCTGATCGATGTCTCCCTGTTTCCAAAATATTGAGAAACTTGAGTTCCCCTTTAGGTAGCACAGTGACAGAAGAAGGAGCCCCACCCAACACACAAAGGCAAGGATGGGAAAACTTAGGAAGTTGAGCTGGACTTCAACCATGGTGCAGTAAGTTTCCTCAGACAAAGAAGATGACCCAAATCATCAGAAGTGCATTGCAGCCTCAGGCATCTGGGCATTGAAAGTGCACATTCTAGACTAGAGTTCTAGACCCACATCACAGAGGTTTAGCATAAACACCAAAGGTTCTTGAGGGTGGGGGAGGGGACAACACAAGAAAGATGAAACCACAGTCCTTCCCCCACCACCCAACCCAGCAGATCCATCCATCCCTCCAGGGCCCTTTAGATACTTCTGATCTACCTTCCAAACCACACATTCACATACCATATATTTACTTTAGTGAAAATTCCTATTTATTCCACCTGTTACCTAGATACTACCTGAGACCCTCTTATTGCCTAGTGGTCACCCTTTGGATCCCACATAATATATAAAACTCTGCTGTGCCAAGGGATTTACACCTCCAAGGTCTACTCTGCCTTCAACCACAGCTTCCCCTCATACATAATGTGTCTTTACCTGCATGGAGCCAGAAATACACTGAGCACAAATATATGTCACCCGCTCCCCCCATATCTCCTCAAAAGAATTCACCAAAAAGCACAAGTGTGCAGAGTGGCCTATGTTAATAAACAGGAAGCATGACAAGAAGAGAAGCAAGGGCATGGCATACTCATGACCCTATAGCAAACAACTTAGCAATCTTGGGTGATTCCTTTTCCCAAAATCCCTCTGAAGCTATTCAGCCCCTTAACGTTCTGAAACCGAGCCGCCTCCACCCATAGAGCGTCTCTTCCTGCAGTTCCCTCTTTCCTCTGACAAATCCCTTCTTCTCCTCACAACATTTAAAATTTTTATTTATTTTACATAACCTGCAGGACCAAATACACTCTGATTTAAGGAGTGGGCTTCTCTTTAGCATAACTTCTAATGAACACAATTATATTTAGTGATACTTTTTGACTTTTTTGACTCACATCAATAGTTACTTCTTCCATGAAAATTTTTATGATTTTTTTCTCATCTACTTTCTTTTCACTAAAATTTCTATTGGCATCTCCATACCTTTGTAGACAATAACGTCACTTTGTTGATGGTGTATATGTATTTATTTCATCTCCTTATGCTAGTTATTAGTCATTTACTAGTTGTACCCATTATAGCTTCCTTAGATTATAAACTGCTGAAATTAAGCCCTGTGTCATTTCCTTACTTTGCTTGCCTGCATTCCCTCGTTGAGTCTGATGAATCAATCTTGACCCCAGATACCTAATTCTTTCCCTCCCCTCTAAGGAGGATTTGCCAGCAGTGGCAGCTCCTTCCTTCACCCGTCTTCTCCTGCATCCACAGTGCCACCATTGTTTCTACCCAAAAGGATGATGCACTTCAAGCCCACTCCATTGCACATACCTGCCTTCCTTGACCACAGGAGGTGTATTTGTTCAGAAAAATCCCTCCACATATCTTTGTATCTCTGGTGTCATTTTGGTGTTTTTTTTTTTCTTTTCCGAAGAGGAAGGCTGGTCCTGACTGTCCCTGAGGTCCCTAGGATTCCCAACTGTAAAAACATTCTCTAAAGTCTGAGCGAGATAAGCTCCACCAAAAAAAAAAGGGTGTAAAGATGACACATCAAATATATTCTTCAAAAAATGGCCTTGTCATGAAAAAGGAAGACTAAAAAATACTAATCCAGATTAAGGGAGACAAGACACAACAAGACACAAGACAACTAAATGCAATCTGTGATTTTACACTGAATCCTTTAATGAAGGTTTAAAAAAAATTACAAAGGACATTACTCAATAAATTGAAAAAAATGAAATATGAATAGATCAGTTAAAAGTTTTATGCCATTGTTAAATCATTGTTACACTTACTGAAGAGGATAAATAATTGTACTATATGTAAGAGAATCTTTTTTTCTTAAATACACAATGAAATAGTTAATAAGAAGGTGCATAATACATAAAGTATATTCTCAAATATTAGAAATATATGCATTTTTTCATATAAGTGTATATGTGTATATTCATATATAAACAGAAAGGATAGGAAGGGAGGGAAAAAGACAAAAGCAGAGTCAAAGAGACAGAAAAAGGAGGGGATCTCAAATGGGTCAAAATGTTAGTAGGTAAGTCTGGATAAAGGGTACATGGTTTTACCATTCATGCAACTTTTCCACAAGTTTAATTATTTTCAAATAAATACACTTAAATAATAGAACATTGCCTGCTATCCTGGATTTTACCCAACTGTTGAGATTTCTAGCTTTGATTCCTGCAGCTACCACCACCATCATCTTCAGACCCCAGAAGTATACAATGCAAGCATAAAAGTTATCTCAGGCTCTGTCACCAGCAAGACATCTGGGATCCTCTGCACATTTCAACAGGATTTTACAAAATATTAAGAAGAGTACCACCCCCCACAAAAGTTTTAATTATACCCAATGCAGAACAAAAAAAAAAAAAGGTCAACATATTTACAGTATGGATCCGCTGATTTTTTTCTTATCTGGTGCCACCAGGTCATTCATCTTCCAGGGTTTTGTGGTGTGAATTGGTTTGCCAGCACTTTGCCTCTTCTGCTTGTCAGTTACCGTTCCTCTACCAGATTTCCATCTTCCAAAAATGTGTTGACATCTATTGTCAGATCCTCTCTCCTTCTTGTCATCCTCAAGCACTTCTTTGGAATCCTTTGCTTCTACAGTTTATTGAAACACAGTTCTCATACCATACAATTAGGGCTTCCCGGGTAGCTCAGCTGGTAATGAATCCGCCTCCAATGCAGGAAACCCCAATTCGATTCCTAAATCAGGAAGTTCTCCTGGATACGGGGTAGACTACCCACTCCAGTATGCTTGGGTTTCCCCGGTGGCTCAGATGGTATACAATCTGCCCACAATGCGGGAGACCTGGATTCGATCCCTGGGTTAGGAAGATTCCCTGGAGGGGAATGGCAACCCTCTCCAGTATTCTTGCCTGGAGAACCCCCATGGACAGAGGAGCTTGGCAGGGCTACAGTCCATGGGGTCACAAAGAGTTGGACATGACTGAGTGACTAAGCACACACTAGAGCACACCATAAAATTCGCTCATTGAAAGTGTGTAATTCCATGATTTTTATTATACTCAGATATGTGCATTACTACAGTCAATTTTTAAAATATTTTCATGACTTTAAAAAGAACCTCATAACCTTTAGCCTCATAACCCCCTTCCCCCATCTTGCAGCTGTACGCAACCACTAATCTACGTTCTGTTCTGTCTTGGTTTCCCTAATCTGGTTGTTTCATATGAATGGAGTCATATGTAGTCATTTTGTGACTGGCTTCTTTCATTAGCGTAATGTTTTCACAGTTCAGTCATGTTGAAACACATATCAGTTTGTGGCTTTTTATGCCAAAATAATATTAATTGCATAGATAGAACATATTTGATTTACCTATTCATCAGTTGATGGACATTTGGGTTATTTCTACCATTAACTCTTATGAATATGATTGCTATAGACATTTGTTTACAGGTTTTTTGTGGACATATATTTTCATTTCTTTTGAGTATATATTATACCTAGAAGTGGAATTGCTGGGTCATACAGTAACTCTGGGCTTCCCTGATGGCTCAGCTGGTAAAGAATCCACCTGCAATGTGGGAGACTTGGGTTTGATCCCTGGGTTAGGAAGATCTGTTGGAGAAGGGAAAGGCTACCCACTCCAGTATTCTGGCCTGGAGAATTCCATGGACTGTAGAGTCCATGGGGTCACAAAGAGTCTGACATAACTGAGCAATTTTCACTTTCACTTCCTTCATGGTAACTCTATGTTTAATATTCTGAGGCACTGCCAGACTGTTTTCCAAAATATTTGCACCAGTTTTCATTCCGAGAAGCAGTGTATCAGGGTTCAAGTGTTTTTGAATTCTCACCAACACTTGTTTGAATATGACTTTTTGATTCTAGCCATTCCTGTGTGTGTGAAATGTTATCTCATAGCAACTTTGGTTTTCATTTCCCTGATGGCTAGTGATGTTGAGCCTCTTTTCATCTACTCTTTTAATGCCGTTTGAGGGAAGAGGTATTATAATAATAAGATCAAATATACTTTGATCTACTATGTTTAATCATAACACAGCTCATTTTAACTGTGTGACAAGAAAAATATTTTCTTGTATGTATTAGAAAGTGCATGAACAGTATGATAAGGCAAAAAGATATGACATGAAAGATTAACACCCCAGGTCAGTAGGTGCCCAATATGCTACTGGAGAAGAATGGAGAAATGACTCCAGAAAGAATGAAGAGATAGAGCCTAAGCAAAAACTCAGTTGTGGATGTGACTGGTGATAGAAGTAAAGTCCGATCCTGTAGAGAACAGTATTGCATGGGAACCTGGAGTGTTAGGCCTATGAGTCAAGGCAAACTGGAAGCAGTCAAACAGGAGATGGCAAGAGTGAACATTGACATTTTAGGAATCAGTGAACTAAAATGGACTGGAGTGGGTGAATTTAATTCAAATGACCATTATATCTACTACTGTGGACAAGAATCCCTTAGGAGAAATGGAGTAGCCCTCATAGTCAACAAAAGAGTCCAAAATGCAGTACCTGGGTACAGTCTCAAAAACAACAGAATGATCTCTGTTCGTTTCCATTCAGTATCACATTAACCCAAGTCTATGCCCCAACCACTAATGCTGAAGAAGCTGAAGTTGAACGGTTCTATGAATACCTACAAGACCTAGAACTCACACTAAAAAAAAGATGTCCTTTTCATAATAGGGGACTGGAATGCAAAAGTAGGAAGTCAAGAAACACCTGGAATAACAGGCAAGTATGGCCTTGGAATACAAAATGAAGCAGGGCAAAGGCTAACAAAATTTTGCCAAGAGAATACACTGGTTGGTCATAGCAAACACCCTCTTCCAACAACACAAGAGAAGACTCTACACATGGCCATGACCAGATGGTCAGTACCAAAATCAGATTGATTATATTCTATGCAACTGAAGGTGGAGAAGCTCTATACAGTCAGCAAAAACAAGACCAGGAGCTGATCTTGAACTCAGATCATGAACTCCTTATTGCCAAATTCAAACTTAAATTGAAGAAAGTAGGGAAAACCACTAGACCTTTCAGGTATGACCTAAATCAAATCACTTACGATTATACAGTGGAAGGGACAGACAGATTCAAG